GAGTTGATGAACTTTCTTCAGCCCATACTTCACATCCATATATAAGAATTGGTCTTATTAGTTTATCAAACAATGATAACAATAATGAGGGACTGAGGCTTTTATTAAGACCTAATTTGGCTTTCAAAGAGAATAATGCTTTCATTCCTTTGTATTTCAGATGTTTCATAGCTGCTTTAAATTTTCCATTAGGGCTGAGAACAATACCTAAATAATTATAATTTCTCACGATGTTAATCTCATTCCCTTCGAAAAAGAATAAATCACTGTCATAGAGTTTATTATTTTTATTAAAAACCATAAATTTTGTTTTTTCTGTGTTCACAGAGAGTTTCCATTTCTGTGTGTATTTTGAGACATTATCAAGGGCATTCTGGAGGCCACTTTTGGATTTAGAAAGAATAACTATATCATCTGCATACATTAGACAGCTGATTGGTGTGTTATTTAAATTTGGTGGATCACATGATTCATGGTCCAGGGTATTAGTTATGTCATTAATAAAAATGTTAAAGAGTGAAGGGCTCCTATGACACCCTTGCTTAACACCCAGTGTTGAATTAAATTGATTAGTTAGTCCATCTTTCATTTTTATGTTATATTTTATATTACTGTACATACTTTTAATATACTTTTAATATTATATAGCGATCAGAATTAATCATAACCAATTGTACTAAACTGATCTGTCAAACTGTATCATCTTAGATCGATGTATGATCAGTTAATTTAATTTGAATATCCATTCACATGTAATCACTCGCAATATATAAACCTTTGAGCAGGCATCGCACGGGGGGGGGGTGATGATAATGTTAGCAACAGCGACCATTTTTGACGTTGGTAAAACACATTTTCAGATTTGTTTTTACCCCACGTGAAACTTTCGTATATTTTAAATGTAAGCTCTCGATACCATATCAATGTGCAGCGCATTCAATCAAAGACGTACTGCGTAAAACTGCGTTATCATGTGAGTTGCCGAGTATAGCAGTGAGTCTGATATTTATCAAATACAACTCGCATTGCGTTGAGATATGTCATTATACTACTGTGCGCTGACCATTATTGAAACGCCGCGTTCTCATTGGTCGACGTGCAGCCATGTTATCAAACGTTATCTGCGTAGTAATTAAAGGGAAGTGGTCGTTGCGCAGCGCATGTTCGAATTTCATGTAAACAAACAAACAAACAATGCATTGTACACGTTTGGTATACGTCGCTATGAGTCCCAGATCGAATAGGATGTGGCGCGACGACCGCCGACCTTTAAGTTCAAACCTGAATATATAAACAAGAATACGTGTGGCTCAGCCAATCTAATGTTTCTAAAACTGTCTTTGTATAGTTCCGGTTATTTCCATTATAAAAAAATTACTTATCAGCGTATTTTCTAATATCATTTTCTTCAAGTTGTGAACGCTCTATACGTTTTTTTTCTTTCTTTTCAAGCTATACCTATAGTTCTATTTAAATGTTTGACATTCCCTGGTATTATAATTGAAACAAAGGACTCTTCATTTCCCATTATTTTGTGACAACATGGCTCGGACACGTACAGGAATGTTAACTCAAATAATGCGTCACCCATTATTGCGCACACCCCCGTCCTTGCCTCGTCGTTCTTTGTTGTGAATATGTGAATTGTACAATATCAGGGCACGGCCACATGGAAAAAAACATGAACAAAACTTACTAAAGTTAGAGTAAAAAAAATCTTCGCAGTCAAACCGAGACACAACAGCCTTTTAAACATTTCAGTAGCGTTTGTTCTCACGTTCTTTTAAATACAGGTACCTTCGGGGTTATTCCGATAGGTATATATAATTTATGTGTACCACAAAAGAATGAAAAAAAAAAATCCCAGGTACTTGTTGCGGAATGTTGGACGCCACGTATATTGTTGCACCGTTTCCCAACATAATAGGCAGGGCTCTGCCAAGCCACAAAAGACCAAAGGACTGTAATGTCAATGGCTTTTTATCGAACTTCTTAAGTTGATTTACGTGCTTGAAGAAGCTTTTGTGATCGAAAATACTGATGTGTGGTCTCTTTAAGTGGGTCCTTTGAATTCAAGTTCACGGTAAACACAGCGAACAAATAAAGAAACTAAACTAGTTATAGACGCCTGGCATAATGTATATGATGAGCACGCGTTGTGAGTAAGGGGCTGGTGGGGGTGTTTGTGACGGTGTTTCATGACATAGTGTAGCACGTGTCCCTATCGATCACTAGGCCATGGTTTGGCCGTGACCATGGGATAATAGCGTGTGCCAATTCATCCGATCATATACACAATTAATTCTCACGCCGTTTCTGTTGTTAAGGCTGCCTCCAGGCACCACTATATGAACTCACATCACATTTTACCTCAAATAGCGATATGTCCGTGACATATTGCTTGAAGGAACTGATGTATGGTTTTATTTATTGGCGTAGTGATTGGCTCAAATCGATAATGTACATTGCCAAGTGGGTGGAGTCGGGGGTGTTTAAAATATGTTAATAAATCTTGGTTTAAGCACATTTTCCTATTTGTAACGTTTTTAAAATAAAAACCATCGTGTACAAATAAATAAAACATTAAATATATTAAAACCAGCAACAACGTGATGACAAATTACATTATGGGAGAGTTATTGCTGAAAGCCCTAATGCATATTTTATGTTGAGTTTTCAAGCAAATATAGTAAAGCAATTATCGTACTTTCAGATCAAACGTCCGGAGACTCCGGAGGAAAACAACAACAAGAAGATGGTGGAAGCTGGTTTGCAGACAAGCCACTGTAAATCTATTGCGATTATAGGTTCCACAATCGCCAGTGTTATTATATGTGTCATAATAATCGGTATAGTCATTGCTGTGGGTGAGTGAGTTGACAAATGACGTTATATCTACTTGTGATAAATATTTTATTAATATGTTTATTATACTCTGAATTCTGTATGACTTACTAGTCAAGTATCACATTGTCTTGGACTGTACGATATATAGCAACTAAATTATGTTTTCCCGGTTAATAATAACTATTAATCTAACGCAACTATCTAACTTTCTACAGCAATTGGAGAACATGGGAAACCTGGAATAGTGCGTCCAACAAAAACACCGCCCACCACCATAACAGTAACGCCGAGTCTCTCTACCGGCACAACAAGTGGCAGCAACAACAAATCTCCCACCACCAGCAACAATGGCAACAACGCCCCAACCACCACCACTGCAGCCTCCGCTACTGAGAGTAAGACATCGATTGTAAAGACGTTCGTTCACAATATTCTATCGATGAACATATGGGAATTTCAGAAGTATTATATTATTATATTAAATATAATGCTTTTAATATCCCAGAACTGAATTATTTCATAACAGAATAGCTTTGCGAAAACATTTCCGTTTTGTTCTCTAGATATTGCATCTTCTGCACCGTGTCCTTGTGAACAAATATGTGAGCAATCTGACAATGGTTATAGTTGTTCGTGTAATGATGGTTTTGTCCTTAATGATGATGAGATTGGCTGTACAGGTTGGTTATGTATTTTGTATGTAAGGAAGTTTAAATATGTAATAAGGATAATGAGTAGTTGAGAGTATATTTATAAATATGTAAATTGGGTGAGAACATGTAATTTGTATTATTGTTGTTTATTACTGCATGTTGATAAAGACATTGGATTATGACATCATAACATGAACACTGTGCCGCACATAACATGAATTAATTATTATCTACTAAAGGACATACATGTACAATCATCTACCAAGTCGAATTTTAATTTGTCTACCTGGGAGTAAAAACGACCTCTATAGGTCAAATATAATATTGGAAATATTGTAACCCTGTCTTGGGGAAATTCCTAGGTCCGCTCTTGGATATATACCGAAATGCGAATATTAATGGCTAAGATCATCTTGTTCGGGTCACCAAGTTTAATATAAATTCACAGTTTAACGAAATCTAAATTTTGCATTTATTGGCAGTATGCACATGTGATCAAGTGTGCGTGGGAGTTCTTTCCAGCTACACGTGTGATTGTAACGACGGGTTCGCCTTAGCCAATGATGGAACAACGTGTGAAGGTAGGCTTATGTACGATATTACGAATACCGCTGGTTTGCTTCTTGACAAGTCATGAAGCCTGACTTTTTTATTTGATTCAACAATCAAATTACATTGACTAACGTCATACAAAAAATATTACACGTTATGGATTGTTCGATGGATCAAAAACATTTCAATACAAAAATACCTAATAATGCCTCAACAATTTCAACTAATGTCGTTTCGTGAGTGAGTATCGTATGTATTTTTGCCGACAAATACAGTGTTTCAGCATAATAAAATACTACAGTAGTGTTCCTGGATTGCATGTGTACGTAGTGTTCACCTAATTTCCCCCTCCAATACAGCGTGTCCGTGTGAACAAGTTTGTGAGAAAGACGGTGGAGGTGCGTGGGTATGTTCATGCCGCGATGGATATGAAATGGACGCAGGGGACAGTTGTCAAGGTTCGTGATTATTTTTATTTAAAAAAAAAATTTTTTGTTTTAACTCACTTTGATTACGCTGAAAACTGGCAATGATTATTAACGGTTCTATTTTTTTTTTTTCAAATTTACACAGAAAAAAATACGTATAAATTTTCTGCTCAACCAATATAATTTAGGTTTAGGTTTCATGACGGTGTTTGAGTAATCAGCCAAAGGCCGAACAGAAATATTGCCCACTCTGAATCAATCTTAACCAATGGTTTTGATCTTTTCATTTGAGTTTGTAGACACTCGTCATTGTTATATACAGGTCGATTGAATCATTTGCATTTTGATCACCCATCATGCACTGTAATTACACACAGACATCGACGAATGTATCACAAATAATGGTGGTTGTGAACAAGATTGCACCAACACTCTCGGATCGTTCGTATGTTCCTGCCCGGAAATCGGCAAGGTTCTTCAAGATGATGGATTGTCATGTGCATACGACTACGACGAAGTTCTTCGACTTTCGTTGCTGTTTTACGAAGCTCAGCGTTCCGGTGTGCTACCGGCAGACAATCGCGTTCCGTGGAGAGGCGACTCGGCTACTGACGACGCCACGCCGAATGGCGAAGATTTATCTGGTGGTTACTATGATGGTACGTAATGTTCCGATTTAATATATGCACTTTAACAAATTATTTCCATTAATGAATCTTGTATTTATATAGTATTTCGTGACTTATCAGGTGGATACTATGATGGTATGTGATATGCTGATCAAACATTTGCCCTTTGACAAATTATTCGAATCATGCATATTGTAATTAGTATTTTGTCATATAACACGTATATCTTTAACATTGTATACATGTCCATTAAAGAACAAACAACAGGTGGTTTGTTTGTATTCGCAACAGATATTGCCCGATTTTAACGTCTCTTTCAACAATATAGCACGATGTATATAACTACAGTGCACTAATACAGTCATTTGCATGTTCTATATGTATGTTTCATCCCTATAGCTGGGGATCATTTAAAACTTGGTCTACCAATGGCTTTCAGTGCCACAGTACTAGCATGGGGTTTCATTGAGTTCGAGGATGCGTACGAGGCCGCGGGTCAAGTAGATAACATGCTGGCCTGTCTGAAATGGTTCTCAGATTATTTCATAAAATGTCACACTCAGGAACACGAGTTCTATGCACAGGTATTATGAAGAGTTATTTGTTTTGTTTTGTTTTTCATTCTGTGGAGGGGTTCATTCCGTTTTTTGAAGTGTTGAAGTTTATAATACTCACAGAAAACACATGTCATTGTAGAACTGTGGTTTTCAGTTTAATGTACTCGAGACCACCTCTACTACAAGTTCAATTTCAAAATCTGATTTTTCGAGATATCACAAATTTGCCTATATTTTACTAGGTAATTTATTTGCATCGTTTTCAACACCTATGTACAAAGTATCTATGTACCCAATTTCAATGAAATCTGATGATTATGCATATCACGCTAATTATACAATCAATATGCTCGAATTTGATTCGAAAACTAATTGTATACACGGTTTTTTGGATTCAATGAAAAAAAAACGATTGAGATATTGATTGAAAAGCTGAAAACTGACTAATTATTATGCAAATCAGGTAATTAATATGGGCAGAATTTTAACGCAAAACTAATAAAGTCTGCACAATGTCACAGAGCATATATGTACCAAGCTTCATTGAAATATGATTTGAATTTGAGATATCGGAGGAATTATTATGCAAATTAAATAATTAATACAACAGATTTGATACCTTGGCAGCAATGTGCAATGTTTCGTTAAAATTGGATGGTCAGTACTTGAGATATCAGAGAAAAAGCTGAAAATGTGTTAATTAAAGCAAATAGATATACACAAATTTTAAACCCAAACTAATCACTATAGCCCTAGAGCATTTATGTACTAAGTTTTATTGAAATGCAATGATTAGTATTGACACATCATGCAAATTAGGTTATTAATATGCATGAATTTAAACCTCAAACTAATCAGCTCTGTGCATTGTTCTAGAACATCTTTGCGCCAAGTTTCGTTTGAATCTTACCAGCGGTTCTTGATATAATAGGGGGACATACAGACAGTGCTCACGGAAAGGCGAGCAAAGACTCCCATTTTATGCTTTGCTCACGGGAGTCGAAAACGCAGATTTTATCATTTTGTCTAAATTGCACGTATTTTAGATAATTTTAAAGGGTGGTGGTCGTGTTCGATATGGGTCTCATAGCGACGTACACAGAGCGTGTAAAATACATTGTTTGTTTACATCTGTGAACGATTAAATAGAGTGTTATTAAACCTTCACTTCAGAGGTACAAAGTTCGGGGAATTCTCCACCTTTCTATCGAACAAAGACACACATTGAATCGAATCGTGTCACATTGGTCTCAGCCACGTTGTTACTCTCCCACGACCGTCTCAAGAATCTTTCAAGACTGCTCAAGACTTGTGTTCCTCGCCGTGAGCTTGCCACAACCAACTGAGATCGGCTTTAGTCACATTCCAGCTGTCAACCAATTACAGAGAAGTTACAAGACTCTAAGGCGTGGCCTTCAAACATATAGCCAATCACGCAAAGTACTCAACACGTCATAATGTCAGATTTATTGCCCCCGATTCGGGACATACTTATCGGTGCCTCGTTGACTTAACCAAATTCCATAGTCGACCATTATATCACCCAGTTGTTCCTATCACTAATTCCCTAACATACGAATGAACCTGATCATGACAAGTTACGAGCAGGTGTGGGTCATCCAGGGGTCATCAGTGAAAGTCGCTCATAACTACAAAAAGCGGCCTCACCGAAATACATGAAAATATAAATCATCACACATCATTAAATTCGAACACAGGCTGTCCTTTAAATAAGGCTAATCATTTTAAGAAAGGCGATGTTATTTGCAGTGGAAGTTTATCATGTTACGACCATACAGCAAGTTTCTTTTTTCGATCAAGTAATATTACGTGCAGCATGCATCATAGTAGAACAAAGGACATGTGCATTTGTCTTACTTGTTATTGTAAGTGATATGTACTATTTAATGATATTGAATACCGAGCGATGGAAGGTTGTTTACGCCGAGATAATGTGTTGCTAAAAAACTATAATTTTCTTTTAGGTTGGCTTGAAAGAAGACGACCATTTTTACTGGGGGCGTGCAGAGGAAATGACTATGGACAGGCCAGCATTCAAAGTAGACGAAACAAACCCCGGGACTGATGTTGTATGTGCTACCGCCGCTGCCATGGCTGCAATTTCAATAGTTTTCAAGGATATAGGTCGGCGTGATTTTCAATGTGACCTTCCTAAATGCACTTGCTCGCTTAATTTCAGGTTATTTCATGTTGCGAGCTCTTCGTATATTTGGAATACAACCGATTTACATACTAAAAAGTTTAGTGTTTTATTCCAGACCCATCCTACGCTGCTACACTTGTTACACATGCAGAACAGTTATACGAGTTCGGCGACAACTTCCGAGGGTATTACTCGAACAGCATAGTCGATGCGGCCGAACTTTATAAGTAAGTACGCAATGCAGTCACGCATTTTTTTTCTTGATATATATACATTCAAGGTATGAATCAGTAAATTCATATTTGTTGTCATTTCAGTTGGTTTGTTCGCATTGCAAATAAAAGCGACGGTGAGTGTCACTTAATTGATTTGCGTTGACACTACTGTATCTTTCTTCAGATCAACAAGTTACGTAGACGACCTATGTTTTGCCGCGTGTTGGCTCCATTACGCAACCGGTGAAAGCACGTATCTGGACCAGGCAGTCAGCATACTAGAAAGCCAACCAGGAAACAAACCGTATTCGTTTGGATGGGGTGATGTTACTGTTGGATACAGGGTCAGTATCTTGAACGCACTATAGCCGACTAGCAGACAATCAAAAAATATCTCAACTAAGTTATTAATGGTCACCATACAATATTACATAATTTTGACATTGCCATATGTTACTTCGAAGCAGAAACTGTGGTTTTCGTCGACTTCTTATTTTTCCGGACAATCACTACGACTGGATAATCTCTATGAGTTACGCGCTCACAAAAAGAACTCGGTACATATGTTTAGGACTTAGGACACCAAACACAGTTTCGCAATGGTTTCTTCTGTTTCATTTTCAGTTAATGGTGCTAAAGCTGACTGGCGAGACAAGTACTTACAAAACGTTGGTCATTGATAAGTTTCTCACTGGCTGGCAGCAGGGGAATGACCTTTCGTACACTCCGAATGGAATGGTATTCCGTCACTATTGGGGTTCACTTAGATATTCAAGTAGGTAGAATAACCACCGTCTGGCGTGTTCATCCGTGACAAAGCGTTGAGTCAATCATCGATGATCGTAACAAATAGTATATGTGTTCTCATGCGTTATTAACGAGTTACATGGTCTGAGTAGGTCGGCGTTGTTATAGTGCCCTCAGTATTGGGTTTCAGGATACTTTCGTTTAGTCGAGATCACGTTGTTACAAATTAACTTGCCATAAATGATGGTGTTCGTATTATACGACTATTTATACTTTATTTTTCTATTTCACATGTATGTTGTTCCTACGATTTTTTACAGCTTCGACGTCATTCATTGCTTTGTCTCTTGCCGAAGCCGGACCGAAGCGTAATCTATACAGAAGTTGGGCCAAAGAACAAGTTGACATCGCTCTAGGGGATGCGGGACGAAGCTATGTGGTAGGCTTTGGGACAAATCCACCCCAAAATCCACATCACCGGGGAAGGTATATATTAGGAAATGAATTGCGGAAGTGTAATGTAATGTAATGTACTGTAATGTAATATAATGTAATATAATGTAATTTAAATGTGAAGTTATGTCATATAATAAATGAATTTGTGTGTCAACAGTTCGTGTCCAGATCTCCCGGCATCCTGTGGATGGCCGGAATATGGTTCAACTGACCCTAATCCGCAAATTTTATATGGAGCCCTGGTTGGTGGACCTGACGAAAACGGTAACTATAGTGATACAATTGATAACTATTTTCAAAATGAAGTGACTCTGGATTTCAATGCTGGATTTCAGTCGGCCGTTGCAGGTGAGTGTTTTCACATAGTCCGTGAAATACGGAATCATTTAACCACACGCTCTGCTAAGCAAATAACGCAATAGTTATTAGGAACAACAGGAATTGATTTCACGATGCAAAAACTACTTGAGGACTTTAAGATAATGTGGCTAGGTTCACAATCTAAGAGTGTTATGTAGTGTCCGTCGGTTATTGTCGCAAGGGGACTCAACATGCCATCCTTCATCCCAGTAAATAAATCTTAGTTGCCGATGTCATTCACATAGTGGTGAGAAACAAAAAGACACATACGTTGGGTATTCATCCTAAGTTACGCAACATTAGCTCTAAAATGCCGTGGTAGCACATAATGTTTCCCTTCATTGCTCCAGTGGAACAAGTACCGTACATTTGCACAAACACAAAAGGCTCTGTTCAGTGCAGTGTAGTGCATACCCGTGCCGACGAATGAATTATTGAAGCGTCTACTTTGTATATAACTATCGCAATCGAATCCCTCATAGTATATAGGTTATAGATACTGACTACCAACAAATCGAACTCAGCTTTGCCAACGTTTTCAATAATTGATATTGATCTCTCGTAAACATCCAAAATTCCAAATCCTGGCACCTAGCCAAGCTTAGAGTACAGAAATACTTGACACATGTGTGCGAATTACTAATCCACATGTGCTCGAGCCGAAATTATGGTCATTACTAATATGCATATTAAACAAACTGACGGTAACTAACAACAGTGGTGATTACTAATTTTCATATGACAAAAACTTTACAAAATCTACGTGTGGATCAAGAGTGGTACGATACTAGAGTATACTTTACATCCCGTTACCATCAGAGCGAAAACTACGTACCTAATTAAGCTTTACATATATTTCTATTCACTCTAGGTCTACGCCATTTGCAATTGATTGGCCAATACCCCTGACCTGCCTAAGAGAGCACTGCCTTGGTTAAGAGTTGGTTTATTCTACAATGGATTAGTGTAAACTATGTCGACAATACGAGCAGCTGATATTTTTAAAGGCCCGTGGTCTCACACCGCGTCTTGTTTGATACGTTACATAAAGCGATGTATAAGTATAATGCGTGTAAAATACATTGTTTACAAGAAATTAGAACAAGGGCAGCACGACGACCACCGACCTTTAACCTCTTTGCATACAATGCACACATGGCTCATGATCACGAACATAGCGTATTAAGAAATGTATATTGTATAAATATTTGAAAACAGACAAATTCAGTGTAAAAACTTTCAAAATTGCTTAACCTTTAAATACACACATCGCATTGAATTCTTGTGTTATATGTCACAGAAAGGTTTGACGTCATGCCATGACTATACCGTACTTCACACAGTATATTGAAAATAGTATTGCAAACATGTTTTTTTTTTGTACATATGTATCTTTTTGTCATTTTTTTGCTTATATCAGCAAATTTTAGTTCGAATTGTAATATTTGTGTTTCGTTTCGTACACTCGAATGTTAGTATTTAATGTAAAAAACAACAGTAATACGATGTTGTACAACGCTGCATATAACATCCGTATTTTGATTTCGATTTGTGATAGGGCCGTTTACACACGTACTTACGTCTCACTGGCTATGGCAGACGTTGTATCACTATGATACATCACTAAGTATATGGATATCAATAGATGTATATATATATAATATGACTTCAGAAAAAAAAATACATGATAGTACATATAAATTTGGTTGAATGCGAATTATATTAAAACAATATATTAGTGCATCCACAGTGGTGAATCGTGGAATCATTGCGCTTTTTTTTTGTTATACGCCTTCTCAACTATAAACATGTCAAGGGTATGTTGACACACAGATGTGTTATATTTATACTGTTTGATACAAAGAAATGTGTTATATTATTGTTAGCCTCATTATTCGTCTGCGATGCTAAGATTTAACCAACTGTACTAATTGTATTACGTAATACGTTGACGTACATTTACATGAGTAGTTGTTGTGCAATTATTGTTTTCTTTACCCGGGGCCACAGATTTCAATAAAAAAAGTAGCATATTAAAAGTTAGTTGTTAATTTAATAAATAAATTATTCATTTGACATACGATATGGATTTGTATAAGCGTAGCCTAAGTCACGCGTTTTAATTAGTTGGTCAGTTTAATTTATCCTTTCTATAAATCTCCGTCAACGTCATTGTTTTTAACGGAAATAAAATCTGTCAAAAAAAACAATATAGATATATTCTAAATGACGAATGACTACACAACGAAAGAAAGTATATGCTGTAATGCTGTACCTATATGACATGCCTTCACCCATCTACGACATTTAATGTCATACAACGCCCCCTAAAATCAAGCTGAAACCCTTTGTGTCAGCAAAATTTGCCCCTCGAAATGCAGCGAATAGCGTTTCAGATGGTCTAGATTTCAAAATTTTTAGGGGGCATGCCCCCGGACCCGCTAGTAAGGTAGCGACTCCGGCGCGAGGTATGTAAAATTTCGTGGCAGGACAGCGTCGACATTATTTAGATTTTTTGTCTTCCGCCCAATAAAAAAAATCAAAGAACGATTTCACAAACACAGTTATCTATTTGCAAGCAGCTTATACTATATACGTCATGCCATCAGTAAGGTAAACGTCATGTCATCAGTAAGGTAAACGTCATGCCATCAGTAAGGTAAACGTCATGTCATCAGTAAGGTAAACGTCATGTCACCAGTAAGGTAAACGTCATGTCACCAGTAAGGTAAACGTCATGTCACCAGTAAGGTAAACGTCATGCCATCAGTAAGGTAAACGTCATGTCATCAGTAAGGTAAACGTCTTGTCACCAGTAAGGTAAACGTCATGTCATCAGTAAGGTAAATGTCATGTCATCAGTAAGGTAAACGTCATGTCACCAGTAAGGTAAACGTCATGTCACCAGTAAGGTAAACGTCATGTCACCAGTAAGGTAAACGTCATGTCATCAGTAAAGTAAACGTCATGCCACCAGTAAAGTAAACGTCATGCCACCAGTAAGGTAAACGTCATGCCACCAGTAAGGTAAACGTCATGTCACCAGTAAGGTAAACGTCATGTCATCAGTAAAGTAAACGTCATGCCATCAGTAAGGTAAACGTCATACCATCAGTAAGGTAAACGTCATGCCATCAGTAAGGTAAACGTCATGTCATCAATAAGGTAAACGTCATACCATCAGTAAGGTAAACGTCATGTCATCAGTAAGGTAAACGTCATGTCATGAATAGGGTAAACGTCATATCACCAGTAAGGTAAATGTCATGTCATCAGTAAGGTAAACATCATGCCATCAGAAAGGTAAACGTCATGTCATCAGTAAGGTAAACGTCATGCCATCAGTAAAGTAAACGTCTTGTCATCAGTAAGGTAAACGTCTTGTCATCAGTAAAGTAAACGTCATGTCATCAGTAAGGTAAACGTCATACCATCAGTATAGTAAACGTCATGTCATCAGTAAGGTAAACGTCTTGTCATCAGTAAAGTAAACGTCATGTCATCAGTAAGGTAAACGCCATGCCATCAGTAAGGTAAACGTCATGTCATGAATAGGGTAAAACTAACCTACAGCTGTCCCACGACGTTCTAATACCGACTCACGTTCCCTGTTGATGGGTGAAGCCATTCGAGGCTAGAGGGGCGATTAATTAGGAAGGCGAATTCGACCTTAGGGATAATGATTTGAGAGATTGTTGCACTATAAAAGGCCGACCCTGTATATACTTCACACGAATCGCTTCACATTTAAACCAAAACACTTAAACTGTTGACATCGCCTGTTGTAACTATGACGACAACAATCATAATATACACATAGCCGTTGCTGTACAAATGATGATAGCAATTACCTTCCAATTTGTCTTCAGTAATTGAATGAATGAATGAATCCACCATTTGTCTGTCTTTTTGACAATATTACCGTTCTGCAAATACATATTCTTCAGTGGCTTTTATAGTGCAATTCGTTGAAGCCATACTCGTATAATCACTGTCGCGTCACATATAACCGAGTTGCATATAATATCTGTTCTGAAGTAGTTTTATTTTTTTTAAGAACTGGAGTTATTCTATAGACACGGTTCATTCCCTGGTTCATTAATTTATAAGAGATAGGTATTCCCACGTTTTGGAAGGTTAGTTTTGTCATATAAGTTATATTGTGATCACAAATAATACTGTTATGCCTGGATACATTGTACTTGTATGACCATCCAGGGAGTGACGATGAACAAACAGAAACGCATGAACTACCGTGAGATATAATTGAACATATAAATGTTGATTCACTATGGAACTTTTATTTTACCTGGCGAATAATTTCAATAATTATGCAAAAATTAATTAATATTTCACATAAAAAAAATCACTAATTACTATGACAGCACTCAACCATCGCTACTCAATGTATGCAATGTAATAAAGGTTACTTATTTTTTTGGACGAATTACGTCGATGATCACTGAAAACATTTGCTTCAAGCTGTGGAGTCTGTCTCAGTTAGTGTTTTTATTTTGCGAGTGTTCCCGTACGTTATTTAACAACCATTCGCATTGGCTTCATGAACAAACGTTTAAGACAACCATTATACTACGGCATATACATGTATATTACATTTAAATTTGTTTAGTATCAAAACAACCTGCCTAATCTAACTCAAATGCACATAACGCGTGCAAATGTCATTGCCTTCAAAAATACGGAATCTGTCTGATTCATCGTCGTCTAGACAAAATATCTACTACAGGAATAGTGGAATTTGCAATAATAATATACCAACCAAATCGGGTAAAATGCCTGAATATCTGTCTTGAAAAGGGCCATTGTATATAGTGTGCGTGTTTCCATGTATTTACTTTTTAATGGGGATAATCCAAGACAAATATCCTGCAACTCTGTCTGAATCTTTAGTGACGAGTATCGGACGGTAAATCACAATTAAATTGCATATATGTATAAGTATCCAAGAGAAAACACTGTCGAAGATTGATCTTAAATGGTCCATACCATTATAAGTGAATAATTCCATTAACAAACGCACCTTTTAAATTTGTTATTGAGGGTTTAAATAAAATGTCACATATTTTCTTCATGCATTTAGTACAATGGTGTGCACATCAATAGACGGTCATGCTTCACTTAATAATCACACCACGTGACCAATCACAATTCACAAGCATAAATGCACTTTCTAAATATATGCATTTCTTTTCTTTTCAAGCACTTTAGCCGTTTTAGGAGGTAAAATCATGGCAAGTCAAATTGTCACTAAAGATTTTATTACGAAATATTTCTACCGTTTTGGGTTTAATTCAAGATGAAGGCAAGGGTAATCGACCCATTGAAGTTCTGTGAGCAGGTCTCCGTAGCTCAGACAAGCACTTCTATGCGCGTACCAATTTTAGAACTGTGGCCACAATTCTAAAAAACGATTACCCATAATGCACCATAATTAAATCGTAAAATCGACGTTTTTTCAAGAACGAGCCAAACTTTTGCATGTGCAGAGCAAATCACATTGCGCAACTAGGTTGAACTAAAAACCACCGAGTTAGGAGCATAACAACGGTCGTCAAATTGAAGTCAGGCGCATCAGTTTCCATTGATAACGTGATGCATGCACATATACAGTTTCAGTCTTCTAGCTTCAGCCATAACATCCAAAGCATTGATAAACAAATTGGGCAGATGAACAAGAAAGAAAAAACAACAACGCAATTTAAGGGGTCCGGCCCATTTGGCCGCGCTCCTAAAAATGTATCAATTATAATAGGGGTCTAGCCATTCAGGCTTGTGCTCCTAAAAATGGTTCATATCGTCTCGCTTGTTGCTTAAGTATGTTAACTGTTTACAGTCAGCCGTTGGCCATTTACGTACCGCATAACATCAGGTTTGATGATGCACAAAAGAAAGAGGGAGGGGTAAGGAGTAGAAGGTATTACGACTATTGTATAAAAGAATGATAATTATTTTCGCTGCAATTGGGACGATGAAATACAAAATACTCAGTAAATGTTTGTGTACGCGTTTATGTCTTCAGTGATTTATGGCAAACAAGTAACGCCCTAAAACATAACCATGAACATCATCGCGAACAATCGTGGGGCATGTAGTAATTTTTACTTGACAGTCTAAATACAAGTATATTTGAACTGATCGGAAATCTTGTTGGCGACCCTGCCCCAGTCTGATATATCGTGTATATATCTGGCGCAGAAGTCCCGTTATAATGGCTGCCCTTGGGCTATTCTATTCCATAAACACGTGTCATTTTTATCACCAATTCACTAACGGTATTCTCGCATGAATGCAGTTAGACATAGTTATTCAATATGCTGATTTACATCGAAACGACTTAAGTTGTGGGTATGTCCGAATTATTGATGCGTGAATTTTTATATAATCTTAACAATACCGTCTCGGGCTGCTGCGTTCCACTCAATGCAATACAATACAAGGGGGTAGATTCAAATGATAGATAAATAGCTTTGTTGATATAGTGTATCACTTTCCCATGTAGTTGTGTTACGCCATAAGTGATACACAGCCAAACGCAGGTTTGATTATTTTTTGAAGACGCTGCACGTTCGAATATTCACTTAGTAAGTTAATCTAATATAACTCTGACTTCATTCACCCTTACATTTCGCTGTTTCCCTTCCAATTTCTTTGTTATTTGTTCTTGATTTTGTCACGCACGGAATAGATACGGTAGCAATAGTACTATTGTTAAATGTTACTAAACTTTCTTCACAAAATACAGTAGTTTTACAAAACTAAGCCAAGGTATAAGAAAGGCGAAGACCAGTCTACGTATTTCATCAAAAAAGATTTCGGTTTCTATTATTCTATTTACATTTATGTTTAATGTTTTGCAATCATGAATATATTCAAAGTCTTGAAGATATTTCGTAGAATCCTAATGTTGGGTATGCGTACACGTACTAGAATCTTACATCACAAAGACCGTGGATCAAAATTACCATACGAGCTAGGATTCTATTGTCACATTATCATACAATATTAAGCATATGAATTATACTTAGAGTAGGATAGGAATTACTAGTAAAGGATAATAAATAATTTGATTTTTTCGCATTAAAAAACACAGCCCGCAGAATAACTAACTACTAAAAAAGCTAAGAATCAGATAAGTGTTATTGTACTTGTAGCACCAACAACAATAGAATTTGCTGTTCCGTCGATCGCCACGATCACCACACTGCATTTGTGAATAACTACGTGGCGATGCTATTTGCACAAATTTAGCAGTGAGTTTTCAGCTAACTAATTTTACCGAATAAGAAATCGTTTCACATAACTTGTCCACTAACGCGCATATATAGTTTTGGATTTTGCACCATCTACAAATGTTTCCATAAATATCATTGACAATTCAAACAACACCGATTTACCATGTATGTGACATAAATTAATATAGTATTCATACATTTAACGAACCCAGCATAGTTTGATTATTAACAAACTGTGTTGTAAACAGGGTGGTATATCATAAGGCATTCTTCTTCATGTACATTATAATGAACGATTTGATACCATACTGGTAATTCCACACACTTAGTGTGAGAAACCTTCATGTCCAAGTAGTATGACTTCATGCACTACGGCAAGTGTGAGAGTGTATTTGTGAATTAAAATTCTGAACTGGGAAATTATAAAATTATGAGAGATACAATTCCGTTATATACATTTATATCTGTTCAAATTATATGATTTGTCAATGATTTTCTGCTGAGAAAACCCAACACCTATCAACAGAATTCCACTCTACTGTACTTATCAACAACTGGTTGGGTTTTAACTCAGTTTTACCTCAGCGATACGACAGGTTGCCCATTGAGCTATCTGAAACACGATGTTACTTGTGAGTAGTCATTGAGTTTTGGGCTATCTGATGTTTCGAGTTAGTCGTGATTTGCGATTTTGCAGCACATGTTTACTGCAATCACCCAGTGCGCAATAGGGCATGACCCCTTTCACCATTATGAATGTCGTGCATAATTGTTGAAAGGCCTCACTAGATGCTTTCAAAAGTACAAGTATGTACTCTAAATGTAGTTAGAGACGTTGAGTTTAATGTAGAATAATTAAACGGAAGTAGATAGTAAAAATATTATTTCATGTGATAAAATAACTATTGTCACACAATAGAGGCACCCGTTGGCTGCTTGCCACAGAACATAATGGAAAGTTCGATAATGCACACGCAGGAACGAAGGGCAAGGATTTTAATTGGAAGATGCTTATTTCAACAGCCGTTGAAACGGTGAAACAAACAATACTCAGTACATGTTTATTACGTACGTATTGTGTATAGGTTTATCAGTGCTGGGTAGTCGTCAAACAAGTAATACTTCGGTAACATAAACAACATGGTGTTGTGATGAAATATTAATTAAAGGATAAAAGTACGCATCCCTGTATATAATATTGCGATATGACAGGGCAATTACGGTAGATCATGGAATAGTTCCATGGGTAGATGAACGCAATAATAGACAGTGCGGGACCCTTTATTTTGTATCCAATTATAATAGCCCGAAATGTCTAACAATTGAACATATTGCAAATAAAAAAAATGTGAACAGTGTGGTTAGTATAAAATAAAATGGGATGCGAAAACATGTTCATAAATTTGCAGATATAAAACTCATAACAGGACTTATTAGTTATTAGTCATTATTAGTTTTTTGTGTAAAGAATCTCTAAAATTGCTGGCAAACATCGGATATTGAGAATCACGAGCAATCTTGTTCGTGCGTTAGTGTATTGTTCTCATTGTTAAGCACTGCCCAGGTTTCTCTGATTAAATGGTTTGTATACATGTATATTGGTGTTACAATTGCCACGCTACTGGACATGCTTAAAATGCCTTACATTTTGTAACTTTTAGAGCCGGGCCAAATAGAAAACCACAAATTGCAAAATATTAACTTAAACTCAGTGTGTCCTAATACGAGCAGTTCGCTTTGCAAATTACGCAATAAGATCTGGATGTCATTTACTAGTACATTTGGTATCCGCAAATCAATTATCCAGAAACTCTCTACAGTGCAGCGACAAAAATGCAACATAGTAAACTCTACCTAGTGTTCCTCGACATAAATACAAATTAAATACATAAGTTTATTCTCATAAACTGCCCTAGAACATATAAACTGTAATGGACTAGGACTTTCAAACGAGTTTGTTCGCATAAATTTGTGCAGATCAGATGACATCAAATAAGTAACACTGTCCAATAGAGCTCAGTACTCCTTTCCCATTACAAATTTCGTGTAGAAGTATTAGCAGAACTCACTAAAGGATTTGTAATTGATGAACAAAATGTATGAATAATGATGGGTTGGGCAGCGGTGGGGTTTAAGCCAGATAACTCTCGTGTACGATGACCCGTGACGTACCCCCCCCCCCCCCACAGTAAAATGTCTTAGTCTGCGGACTGGACTTTATAACTTTGCTCGGACTGTTTCAGGCATATGCTGGTCTCCCCTGAATGCTGGCCACAATGCCGTATTCACTGATATATATAATCAGTTAAGAGGTGAGACAAGCTACTGTACAATTGGCCCGTCATTATGCACGAAAGTAACAGGTTTGTCGTTTGTACTAATAATAACTCTGTTTGTTCTTCTACTCACAGAATGTTACGTAACGATGTTTCGTATGCAGTAACGATAATACCGGATAACATAGATTTCAGCCAAATCCAGAAATCTTCCATACTGTGGCGTCACTTATTCCTTTAAATGGCATAGGGCATTTACAATAACGTTCAACTACTGTAACTCAAGAACATGGAATCCGTGATGTGAAATTAGATATAAAATAATTATTCAGCAGATGAATAACACATCCAAACAACGTTAACGATACAGAGGTTATATTTTTGGTTATTTTTAAGCAAATAGGAATGAAATTACCATATTTGAATATTTCAGAATATCGTCAGGGGACTCCGAACGGAAACAAAATTAAACAAGAAGATGGTAGGATCATGTTTATGTTTTGGGGCCGGCTTTGGTAAATCAATCGCTGTTATTGGTTGCACTATCATTAGCGTTGTTGTTTGTGTGACAGTCATTGGTATAGTGATTGCTGTAGGTGAGTAATTAATCACAAGCCACAAATGTTTTACGCCTGACTGTTGTGTGAAGTCCCTACTTGTGGTGAAATATTCCCTTGTAACATGCTTAACATTTTCATCATACCGAGAAAAAAATATCTACACATATAAATACATATAGCTACTCATTGTCATACTGTTCTACGGATAGAGCGTGCGACCACTACCCGAACCACAAAAAACTCTCTCCACTGTATTCCAACTAAGTATTTTTTTAATGATGATGTATTTGTGTATAAACATAAAATTGGGTTTAATGTGCTTATCATAATAAGAGATCTTTTTTTTCTAAAGACAGATGTTTTGATTTGGAAAACCTACAAAAACATCAGTATTGGCAATGTAGAATGACTGACTTTGTGGGAACTGTGGGCATCATTTTTATGAATCTAATCTCATTGAGTAAATAATATCTGTGCAGGTTTATTCTCAAAATGTATACAATGTTACAGTTATTACTTATTCTGTGACTATAAATAGATCCCAGCACGCATTCAAAATAATAAATATGTAATATTTATAATATGTAATAATATGTTCCCCGCGGAAATGGAGTACATCATTTGATGAAATGGATTTACAGCAGATCATTATGTATACAAGCCTGCATACCACGCATAAGATATGGACACATTAAGCTGAACGCATGTACAAAATGTTACATTATTTTTCACATAATCCTAATTTACTCCAAACATATTTCTTGTGTGTTTCTGGAATTGATGTGTAACACACTTAACTGGCCAAATAGCGATGTAAGCAAGTTTATATTACTACTTTCCATTTCTCTAATGTGTTGCATAAAGAAATTGGCGAACCCGATGAAGTGAGTTCCACAATGGCACCGATCACTACCGTCACAGTGTCGCCTGGAAACAACAACGGTCCAACCACCACCGACTATGCTTCTACTGCAACAAACAATGCCTCAACCATAATCGAAAATGCTCACACCACCATCAATGTTTTCAATACCGCCAACAATGCTCACTCCACCACGACCAGTGTACCCACCACGACCAGTGCTCACACTACCACCATCACTCCAGAACATACTCACACCACCATCACTGATGCTCACACCACTATCACCGATGCTCCCACTACCATCCCAACAACCAATGTTCTCAGCACCAACAATGTTCACACTACCATCATCAATGCTGCCATCACAACCAACAATGTTCCAACCACCAGTGCTCCTACTACCATCCCGACAACCAATGTTCTCAGCACCAACAATGTTCACACTACCATCACCACCAACAATGCTCCTTCCACCAGTGCCCCAACTACCATCCCGACAACCAATGTTCTCAGTACCAACAATGTTCACACCACCACCATCACCACCAACAATGCTCCAACCACCAGTGCTCCCACTTCCATCCCGACAACCAATGTTCTCAGCACCAACAATGTTCACACTACCATCACCACCAACAATGCTCCCACCACGTCTAACAATGATTCCATTATCACTACCTGGAGCAACAACACTTTTTCTACCACCGCCGCCGCCGACGCCGCCACAACTGAGTGTAAGTAAAGTTATATAAATTTGCCGTATGTCTGCGGTGACGTGTTCACCATATACTCAGTGTTTATATCGTATTAGACAGGCTTGGCATGACTCAATAATCCGAAAGTAAATGTGGAATGTGGAAAGTAAAAAAAAATACAATTTTTATGATTTAGCTTGTTTTGTTCGTCAGACATCGTGTCTCATGTGCCATGTCCTTGCGAACAACTATGTGAGCAGTCTGTCAGCGGTTATAGTTGTTCGTGTAATGATGGGTTTGTCCTCAATGATGATAGGATCAGCTGTTCAGGTTGGTGATGTCACACAAATATAACATTATTTTGTTGTACTCATATACGTACTAGTTCATTTTGTGTGTAGGGAGCACACGGCATGTAACGAGTCGCTGTGCTCATAACCTTGAGAGAACCCATCGAAAAAATATTGGTTGATGGTCGCTGACAGTATATAGCCTAATCGCCACGGTGTTTCAGATCGTCTTCTTATTTAGCACACTTTAACGCTTTAAGTTAAAATGAATATTTTGATTGTTGCATTTTGTTTTCAGCATGCACATGTGATCAAGTGTGCGTAGGAGTTCCTTCCAGTTACACCTGTGAATGTAGGGATGGATTCGCTTTAGCCGAGGATGGAAGAACGTGCGAAGGTAGGCCGAAGTAACGTTACGCTATTACGAATGACACATTTTGTTTGTTGACCGAGTCATGAAGTCCGGCTCATGCAGTTTTTGTTTTTTTCTCAATAATCAAATTACGTCGATTAATTTCCCAGTAGCTGCCAGCGCCAGTGTCTTCTTGCTTGCATGAATATATGTACGCATTTCTCTTTAAAATGGTATGAAAAACTATACTACCAACCAACATTACAAATATGTTGTGAGGAACTCCGATTGGTAATTTACATACTTTCGAAATGAGTGTCGATCGTGTCTAGAGTGCTTGCTCGAAAATATGTCACTACTTTTACGAAATGTGTTCATATACATCACAGTACTATCCCTGGTACGCGTATTGTCGTAATTGGGTTTGTGTACAGTGTTCGCAATCTTCTTACACCATTAATCCAATCCCTTCCCCAACAGCGTGCCCATGTGACCAGGTTTGTGGGAAAAACGGTGGAGGAGAGTGGTCATGTTCATGTCGTGATGGATATGAAATGGACGCACGGGACATTTGTAAAGGTTGGTATGTTTTAACATTATGTAAGAAACATTTTATGTTCATGGGTTCGGCTTGACTATACTTTAATATTGGAATTACACAACAAAACAAAGGAAAATGTTCAAGAAACAGTGTTTATAGTATATTAAATGTTTTAAGATACAAAGTACGGATCGATTTTCTGCGCATGCACGTGGCACGAGGTTATGTTCGTGTCATTATGAATAAACAATATACAAAGGGGTTAGCTGTGAAGGCTGGTACGTTTTAACATTATATAGAACATTCAGTTTTTGCTTTCTTGAAATATAAATCAACTAGTTCGTCCGTTTAGGTTCACTGATTACAATTTAAGATGACGTTTACAGTGCACAGTAATAATTACGGTTGTATTCCATTAACTTTTGTACATATACATAGTGTTTATAGGCCAATTTATGTGGTCAAAAACTGTCCCTATATAATAAATATATTAGGAAATTCGTATAGATATGTTTCGAAATAGACTATGGTGTGACAAGTTATGTAGTCATGTCACTTGGAACCCGAACCATGCTTAGAATCTATCTGTAGTTCATTATAATCATCGACTGTTTTCAGTATTATAATGGCTTATTTCAACAACTAACTTGTATGGAGTGAATATTGTATTTTTATGAGTTGTTTATCAATAACTTTTTTTGCTATTTTGATCGTGAGGCTGCATATTTGTGAGCGGATAGCTAACGACCCAATGTAAAATATCCCCCATTCTTAAACGCCGTCGGTTCAGGTATTTTAGTAAATTCAGCCACATTATTGTATACTGCTATTCCTTATACAGACATCGACGAATGTATCACAAGTAATGGTGGCTGTGAACAAAATTGCACCAACACTCTCGGGTCGTTCGTATGTGCCTGTCAGAAAGGCATGGTTCTTCAACGCGATGGATTGTCATGTGCATACGACTACGACGAAGTTCTTCGTCTTTCGTTGCTCTTTTACGAAGCTCAGCGTTCCGGTATGCTACCAGCAGACAATCGCGTTCCGTGGAGAGGCGACTCGGCTACTGACGACGCCACGCCAAATGGCGAAGACTTATCTGGTGGTTACTACGATGGTACGTAACGTTCCGATTTGAATATATGCCCTTTGACAAATTATTTCCATCAATACATCTTGTATTTATATAGTATTTCGTAATTTACCCCATAAACCTTGAACATTTTATATACTTCCTCGTACGATCAAACAACAGGTGGTTTATGCATGAGCCATTTTTTTAAAGAAAATGCTCCACAACTTTCTTTGAGCAAAGAACACTGATGATTTTTGACGATGGGTATTCCCATAGTGAACCAACATGCCTACATTTGCATGTTCTATGTATGTTTCATTTTCAGCTGGGGATCATTTAAAACTCGGTTTACCCATGGCGTATAGCGCATCTGTACTAGCATGGGGCTTCATTGAGTTCGAGAATGCGTACGAGGCCGCGGGCCAGGTTGACAACATGCTGGCCTGTCTGAAATGGTTCTCGGATTATTTCATAAAATGTCACGCTCAGGAACACGAGTTCTACGCACAGGTATACTGTATTTTTTTACTAAAGAATTATGAACAGCATTGTTTGCAATTGTTTTCCTGTATTTTCTTCTCTATGTTGTTCACCGGCCAAGTGATTTACTCCGCGAGTAGCCGATCAGCGATTGCGTCACTAGTACTACTAGTTATTTGATACAATAATTTACATCCGTTAAATCGCCCTTTGAGGGCATTGTTTAAACTGGTTAATCTGTTCACACTTATTTTTCAAAAGTGGGTTGAAATGAAAGCTGTTGTCACACGCAACGTAATATTACCGTAATTGGTATAGTACAGGTGTGATGGTTCAAATACCAAAATGGCAACAGTAACAGAAAGACTTCCCTGGCGGCGATGATAAAATACGAACACGGAGCCAACAGATGAGGTTTCAACTGGTACTGGTATTATTATACACTGCAAACATCAAGTACAATAACGCGGTAAAACTCCACTACTCCAATAACTACTAGTAGATACTTAAACTCCAATACAATTCAACGAGATCTCCGATCTGAACTCAGTGCTGAACAACTCCCCTATATATACCCCCACTGTCTATAAATAGACCATTACATCAGCATACATAATGAGTCTGGAACTTACTACAAATTTCTAGAATGTTCCATTACCTTCTATTGCCTCCTACAGTGTTCTATTACCTATTCAACCAGTTCCTAAAAATCTAGAATATTCTACCCAGACACAGTACGTTTCTAGAACATTCTCAGTGACACGGAAGTGGTAAACAAGTCGTATGCGACAGCTGTGTTTAACCTGGTAACCCCCTAAAACATGGTGTAACGCAGCTTTCAAAGTGATCTCTACAAACATATATATTACGTATATTTTACGTTTAAATCAGTAACTAATTTTAAGCAAAGTGGAAAAAGGGCAAAATAAAATGGCGTACTAGGTTAGCTTGTTTTGACGTGACCTATTGTGTACGCGACATCATTAATATTTCCCACTTACGATGGATCGTAATCCTTTGTAATAAGCAGTATGAACATAATGCTGACACGTTCACCTGTGTATAACCTCATCCAATGTTAAACGTGGGTGAATAAAGCTGATGGCAATTATATGTGGGTAGTATCACTATATAGCGTTATTGTACTCCTAGGTTGGCTTAAAACAAAGCGACCACGATTACTGGGGGCGTGCAGAGGAAATGACCATGGAGAGACCAGCATTCAAAGTAAACGAAACTAACCCCGGGACTGATGTTGTATGTGCTACCGCCGCTGCTATGGCTGCAATTTCAGTAGTTTTCAAGGACAGAGGTCGGTGTGATTTCCAATGCGATTTTGTATAGTTGTAATGTATCACGGTATTGAGAAAAGAAAATCACCCATTAAGAACTCAACCGCTCTTATAAGCGGCATCTTCAGACGAAGGTATCGAGGTCGCGGCTTTGAAATCGTGCGCTTAGCTATACATTTGTATTTTATTTCGTTTTATCACAGACCCATTCTACGCTGCTACACTTGTTACACATGCAGAACAGTTATACGAGTTTGGCGACAACTTCCGAGGATATTACTCGAACAGCATAGTCGATGCGGCCGAACTTTATAAGTAAGTACGCCAATTGCCACGTACAGAAATGCACACACAATAATGACGGTTGTCAAAATACGTAAATTATACATTGTTTTGTTATACCTTGATATGAATATATTGTATTTTTTCAGGTCAATCAGCTATATGGACGACCTATGTTTTGCGGCGTGCTGGCTCTATTACGCAACCAATAAACCCACGTATCTAACGCAAGCAATTGACATACTGAATAGCGAACCAACGGGCAGACCGTATTCGTTTGGATGGGGTGACGTCACTGCTGGGTACAGGGTCAGTACTTTTATACGTTGTGTGCCGTAGTTTGTATAGCTAGCTAGAAGACGTTCTCTTCATCTCAACCAAAATACGCATTGTGCTCAAAGTTATCATTTTAGTGCGACTTTGGCCTTTGTAGTTTTTATCATATTTCAGCATGTTATTGTCATGGTAACAACATAAACACAGTGCCCCAGTTTTGCTGACCAGCAACGTGGCCCTGAAAATTCAATTGTGCCCTCTATTGGCAGCCATCTTCACACAATAGAACAGTTACAAACAATTAACATTCCCTAAACGGTTACACATTCTCCATATGTTTCAGTTGTTGGTACTGAAATTGACTGGCGATACAAGAACTTATAAAGGTTTGATCATTGATAAGTTTCTAACTGAATGGCAACCCGTGATCGGCGATCTGCCATACTCTCCGAATGGAATGGTATTCCGCCACGAGTGGGGCTCACTTAGATACTCAAGTAAGTCGAATAACACTCCAGTCTGAAACAGTTTAGTCAATCAATCGTGTGTTATTCGCTGGTTAAGTGAATCGGAGAACGACTTTCTTTAGTTGGTTATAGCGCCCTTAGCGATTGGTTCAGGGAATCTTTCTATCACTGATTCGTTTAATCATGTCCTGAATCCTTGGGCTGAAAGCATTGGTATTTGTTCACAAAACAGTGTGAGTTTTTGACACTCGTGTATGGAGTCTCAGAACACTGGCATAGATTGTACGATCATGTCTAATTAACTTTTCTATTTTTAATGAGTTGCTTGTGTTTACAGCTTCGACAGCCTTTATCGCGTTGTCTCTTGCCGAAGCCGGACCAAAGCGCACACTGTACAGGAAATGGGCCAAAGGGCAAGTTGACATCGCTATGGGCAGTACAGGACGAAGCTTTGTGGTTGGTTTTGGGTCAAATCCACCAACTCAACCACATCATCGAGGAAGGTGTGTACTGAAAAATTGTAATGTAATGCAATGTAATGTAATGTAATGTAATGCAATACAATGTAACGTAACGTAACGTGACGTGACGTAATGCAGTGTAATTTAATGTAATGTAAATATCCTTGTACACTACAGTTCGTGTCCGGATCTCCCAGCATCATGTGATTGGCCGGAATATCGTTCAACTGATCCCAACCCAAAAACTTTATATGGAGCGCTTGTTGGTGGACCCGGTGAGAACGACGAATACTCGGACAAACGTGACAACTATTATCAAAACGAAGTGACTCTAGATTTTAATGCTGGATTCCAGTCGGCCGTTGCAGGTGAGTGTCTTCCTGTAGCACTAGAATGTTCGGGTGGTACGCCACATACTCTGTAAAGCAGAGAATAATGTAAAGCTTCACCTTATACAAATGTCACGCCCTCTAACGAGGAAATACGGTGTAGAATGGTAACAACTTGAAAACACAGCTACTTTTGAATGTCGAATGTTTAGTAAACAAATAACCAATAAAATAGGCATTTTCATTACCACCCCTAATAAATAAGAATAAATGAAATGAATTTATGACACAAACAAACTTACACATTAGCGACAACTTTTCATTTTAAATGCATCATTTAAAGGGCGGTGGTGATCGTGCCGCGTCCTCTTTGACATAGGACTCATAGCGACGTACACAACGCGTGTAAATTACATTGTTTGTTTACGTGAAATTGTAGAAGTGGCTTGAAGCGTCAGGCTCATTCAAAGTACATTTTTTTTAAATATTTGTGGTATTAAAAAACGTAATGACACAAATACCTAAAACATCGTCCTGTGCAAGATTGTACATGTCACATCATCACTTTTCCCTGCAAACTGAATCAGCCTGTGTATGTAAAAAGCGTTATAAAAAACATTTGGCAGATATTTCCACTGTATTGATTGATGTTAATAGTACATGGTGTATCTCTACGCTGCCGTCATGGCGATGTCCATCATGACTTCCCTGAACCTAGCGAATTCGACAGAATAGAGTACCTTCGATAGCCTTACATCATCGGAGCCACATCTACACATTCTTTACTAAACTGCACTTGTTTTTCTATTCAACCTAGGTCTACGTCATTTGCAACTGATTGGTGAATATCCAGGAGCTGACTAGAATGATTCGGTAAACGTTTAATGGACCACATGCAAACTTTATTCATTACTCGCTTTGCTGACAACATCACTTACACAGCCATTGTGTCGTGGATCATGTACACCGTAGTCCCAGACGTTACTTTTTCTTGTTACTTGACTTCTCTAATTATATCCAATGCTCGACGATGGATAGAACAGTGTGATTGATTGTTTTACTTGATGACTGAAGGAACACTCGTCAAGCACGCGCACAAAGGATGCTGTGTTTGAGTGTCGTGTCTGCGCCAAATGTTGTCCATGTGAAGCGCTTGAAATTGGACAGTACTGTCTTCGAGATGAAATGTGTCAACAAATAACAAAACACAAAAATCATAAATAAGTTAAAGCGGGTGGGTCGTCGCTTGCACACGCGCCGAAATTGAATCCCAGGCGACGTGAAGCGACGTTAACAACTCACGCTAAAAACGCAAATGTGACGCTTGTTTGTAAACAATGACCCGCTTTAAACTGTACATTACACACGCCCCCATGGTCGCGGCATACATGCACAGGACACACTATTCTGTTTGAAATAAAAAAAAGAAAAATTACGTGATTTTATTAATGTATTTAACTAAAAACCATATTTTTATTCTGTACTTGTACATAACAAAGATGTATTGATATTAATGTGTCACATGAGTTTATTCATATTTATTTTGATTATTCTAGAGAAATGTGTAATATTATTTACTGTTCTAATTGAATAACGTAATGTTTTACACATATAATTACATTGAGTCGGATTTGTTTAATTTATGTCAATATTGTTTTTTTCCATACCCATGTATTTTACTAAAAAGCAGCATATTTTATGATTAATTAAAAATACAATTAATATCTAGAACTGGTCACTGGGTACACGTTATGATGAAATAGTGGAAGCCTGGCTTATGTGACGTATTTAAAGACGACGTGTCTCTAGCGAAAAAAACACCTTCCGTCGAGGAAATGAGCGTGTGTGAAGTCAATCACAACATAGACAAGTACCATGTCCCATGGGCCTTTGCCAATGAAACTAAGTACAAGTCAGACAACGTCCATATAGATTTTGTCATTACAACGTCTGCTTTTAAACCCATCAAACTAATTACAGCGGGCTAATCACCCTCTCTTACTTTTCTGAATTACATATGTAATTGTATTTGTATGTTGATCAGCGCCCTCTAGAAGTGCACGTGCGAATGTTGGAGTTAACATAAATGCGAAATTAGACATTTGGTGGTTGGTAGCAGTATCAGTTAGATACCAGTTACATTCGTGTTCCCGCACAGTATAATCCATTCGGCGCTGTGTATATTTTTAGTAGAAAGTGAGTTTCAATTCTGATGCAGTCCAACATGTTCCGTGTTCCTCCTTCATAGGCATTCCCGAATTTCTGATAACCCCAGCTGAGCAGCGCGACACTGAACGCCCCTGAGAACGCTGGCTTGATTTGGTGACCGACTAAAGAAGATATTCGCCGTGCCAATAAGTGATTGGTATTTTCCTGTTATATACCGGCAAGCCTTTAATCGCATTATGACTCAAATTGCTGAAAAACAGTTAAAAGTAAGCCTATGTTTGGTGATTATTTTTTGATTATTTTGAGTACATTTAGACTATCAACTTGTCATAATGAAATTATATATGCTTTTAAAATAATTGATATTATGTCTTTATTATGAAGAATATATAAACCTTCATTTTTGAAGCATTGAGGCGTATCTGAGGTTTTAGTAAACACAGTTAATCCTATATTACCATTAGCTAAGCTTACGGCGAAATGAAAGAGCTATCGCGGAGAAAACTAGACTTCATAATAGTTTATGATTAAAAGATCATACCCAATCACACGTGTTGTTCTTCAGAATCTTACATATATACATCTACTTGATATGTACCTCACGTGCAGTTCTTTTGAATATAGTCCTCCACCAGCGTTAGAGGGCGCGGATGTAATATGTATGGATAGTCAATTAGGAACCAGGATTTCGTCACATGAACCAATATACAAGATAGCTGAACTTGGAACGGACGAGAAAAGGGACAGACTAGCCAAAATGTTTTCATACTGCCGAGGTACTGAAAGAGCGACCTCTGTAGTTGATTGTCTCCCTCTAGCAATGGCAATACGTTAGCTGCAAGGTAAAACACGTTATAGTAATATTGTGATAGCTTTATGATTTCTAATATCATTATGACTCATTTCTGACATCAAATATGCTAATCAGCTAATTTGTAGATTCATATCTGGAAATTCCTATTTTATTGCAACGACAAGTTTGATAAATCTCTTGAGAAATGTACATATGTTCATTCCAGGTCTGATCACTTTAGATTGGTTTTCACGTTGACAAACTTAAAATATTGACGACGTTGGCTGCTGAGAAATAATACGTACGGTTTCGAACTTTATATTGTGTTTTTTGTATCCTTTTTTATTCAAAATAGTTATAACAATGGCATTCACAGTGTATTGTTCTGATGCCATAGTGTTATAATTACGCAATGACTGGGTATTAGTTTTTTCGTCACGTATTTTTCTTCTTCTTTTTTTTAATGGGCGTTAATTACTATTACAATTCGTCTAATTTATTAGACAGTTTGACGACCATGTATTTTTAGTAGAAGGTTATTCAATTCGTTAGTTTTTATCACCGAAGTTATACTATGCACACAAATGAGCCCAGTATATCCGTACCACGGATCGCTGCATCAACTCATTACCCAATTCAAATAATCGAATAGCTATGTTTTATAGACTCAACCACTGGAACTGCATTGCAGTCAAGTGGAGACAGGACAGTGACATCAACAGTGTTAACACGTGATGGAATCTCTTAGATTCAACATTTTGTAATTTAGAGTAATCAATCAGACAGTTAACATGCGCGGAAACATACCGGACATAGTATAAGTTTATTATTAATTACATGTACTGATCTGTGGTTCTCAGTAAATAAATTAACATATATTATAAATTGTTAATATGATTCTGCGCATGGTGTGCAATAATACGAATTCCCAATAGTACACTGTTATTCAATTGACCCTAAATTAGGAGTTTTATATTCATCAGAAATAGTATGGACGATTTAATAATGTCTTCTGAAGACACATTCTTCTATTTAGTGGTATAGTTTCTATTCTCCGGATTCCCTAAAACATATATGTCAGCCTGGAGTGACCACATAACACGCAATATAACAGAATAATCCAAAAAGGGTGTCTTTTCCGGTACTGCCAACGTGATAAAATGAAAATAAAATGAGATTATCGTTTTTTATTGCTTTAAGAAATTCAATGATCGCAAAAACGAGGAAAACGTCCGTCCCCCTGATTAACGACCCTCGATCACGGGCGATCACGGCATATGACCAACTCGTGCTTACACTGAAGGGTTAGAAAGCTCAAATATCGCGAGATCAAGCGCGAGGTCAAGGTGCGTGATCTTTAACTGTCTAAAGGTAAAAAGGGTACAAAATTTTGACCTTTTAAAACGTGTTTAGGGTAATTTTGAAAACCCCTTTCACAGAAATGGGTTCCAGGTATTTCCACAAGTCGGACCCCCGGGAGAGTAACACGCAACAAGTCGACCTCCAATTTTGCAATGGCTTTTCTGGTTATTTTATAAACAGGAATAATTTCTGTCATCAACCGACCTCCCATGAATGAAGACATACGTATATGACTTAATTGTTTTTTTTTATAATACACCATGAAACACAGCCTCGGGCTGCCGGGCTGATGTGGACATTTCATCGTATAGTGCGTATTCTAATGACTACGTAATAATAATAATAATAATAATAATAACTTTATTGTCAACCTATCTCCATTGAGATCTGGACTAACATACAATGAAGATTAAAAGATACAGAAAATATATATTTAAAATGCAAACAACAATAAATAAAAGTATAACGGAAAAAGAAAAAAAAACTGTTAAAAAAGTCTTTAACAAAGTAGTAAATAGTTTACATAAATAGTTTACATATAAATGTAAGAATGCATTATATTTTCAGGACAGCTGGCAATCTCTGTATATTTTCTTTTCTCATAAGAAAGCATTTGTGAATGTATTTTGATATTTTGAGAATCAGTTTTTCATACGTTTTATTTTACGTAAGTAAATGCCATTGTTTATTTTCTGTTATATCAGCACAAGTTGTCTCGCACCACAAGTAACATGCATACGTAAGCCAATGGGACTGTAATCAAATACTTCAAAATCTGCATTGGTTAGTTGATTTAATATTACTCTGGTTGTATATATCCTATAGTCCAGCTCTCGGGGTTTAATCTATTCAACCTTATTTGCTTTCTTTTCCCGCACTTGCATACATAAAAAACGACTACAGCATTATGTTACGTGATGAATTTCTAAGCAAGAGTCTCACCACGTAATACACTGGCGTTGCATCATTTACATTATGTAGATACATTAAAGTTAAAACAAGTTTACGTATTTCATGTAAGTACGAAGATTATTTTGTGAATATGACATTATATCGATTACTTAGTTCAGATTACATTATTTGACAATGAATTGCAAATATAAAAACAATGATCTTCCTGGAGCCGCTTATACTTTGACATGGCAACAGAATTCCCATTCCCTTACGGTAATGTACATATTATACCACAATATTAGAAACAAAATCAATCAGCTGCTTCGTTCACATGTTGCTGACTCTATTGCAAATGTTTTCATGTATTATCGAAGGGCTCAGCCGATATTTGATTATTATTTGTAGTATTTGTAGTATTTTTTTATAGTCAGTGGTATTTCTGGATACTGTGTCTGAGCACGAATAATATTTTTTAATTTAATTATATATTCGGTTTGTATTAATGGATAGATAGATTTTTTTAAACTTTATTCATTGTGCAAAATACGTGCAACGCTTGACAGGTGCCATGTTTGTTTCATCTATAAATTTCAATATCAAATATCAGATTCTTGACTTAAACTTGCATAGTTATGAGAGAGAAAGGGATTGCTGGCCCCGTGAAATTGAC